TCTATATACAAATGACGCAATGTTAATTGGTTCTGTTTTTATCATAACTAAAATGTTTTGTCAGTTTCTAATATTACTGTATCTAAAAGGTTTCTGTTTGTTTTGTAAGTTACAAACACAGTAGTTACTTCTATATACAAATGACGCAATGTTAATTGGTTTTGTTTGTATCATAACTAAAATGTTTTGTCAGTTTCTAATATTACTGTATCTAAAAGAACACAGTTTTAACAGTTTCTATTTTTATTTAATTAAAATATTAAGAATACGTTAACCATTCGTATTTTTGCTGTAACTAAAATAACACGACATTAACAGCTTCTGCTTTTATTGTAATTAACAGATTATGAACACGCTAACCAATTCTATTTTCACTAATTGTAGGTAAAATAATACAACATTAACAACTTATGCTATCTTTCTAACTAGGATATTATGAGCGTTTTAAACAATGCTATTTTCACTATTTGTAGCTGAAATATTACAATATTAAGCTCTTCCACATTTATTGTAATTTAAATACTACGAATACATTAAACATTTCTACATTTAATCTGACTAAAATAATACAACGCTAATCAATTTTATTTTTATTGTAGATAAGACGGATGTGCTAACTTTTCGGTTTATTTAAATTGTTACGAATATGTTAACGGTTTTATTTTATTTCTATTTTAACTTAATACAACCCAACTTTTTCTATCCAGTAAGATTTGCTGTTACTGTTTACTAAATTTCGCGTAAAGGTACCCGAAGGCTATCTGCGCTATTCATCCCACATTTTAAAGTGATAGACTTGACGAAAAGCAGCTAGTCAACACCATCCACCGCCAAACTTGTGGGGTACTCTAATCGAATAGTGGGATTTGACTGTCGCCCTTATAACGCGCTCACGGCCCCAAAGTGTGGCGCGAAATTATTTTGGCGGTAACGGGGCCCCAACCAAGTAATTTCGAATTCACGGTCCGGCACGCCAACCACTGGGTCGTACTTGGCATATCCATAATACAGTTAGAATTTGATTTTTGAAAACTTTTTTTTTTCTGGTGTTTTATGCTAAATAAGACATTGAATTCAAGTACGCTTAAGCTTTTTCTTATTTTATGATTGTAGTTATGTTGTTCTGCACACTTTAATTACGATATTATAATTATATCTCCAACATTTCGAGCGTTTACCATGTATAGAGTAATTTTTTGTGTGTCCCAAAACTTTGAAAATGTTTAATATTGGTGTACAATGTATCCTTTCTATAACTAAGCTGGTTTATATATATATACCCTCCGTTTTTTTTCTGTTTTGTTTTTGCAATTCACGTTTACTGTTTTTGTTAGTATTTTCAGTCTACTGAAGATTTTTTAAACTCCTTTATTGTACCTTTTCTCCTCTTTAATTTAGTAGTAAAAAGTTTATACTATGTGTTATCATATCAAACTCTTTTTATGTCAAAAGAGTCAGTTTTATTATGAAACAACGGAAACAGCGATGACATTCTGTTCATTGAAAATAAACTGATTATCCCTGAGCTACAGTGACCTATATCAACTCATTATCCCTGAGCGATAGTAACCTATATCAACTCACAATCCCTGAGCGACAGTAACCTATATCAACTCATTATCCCTGAGCTACAGTGACCTATATCAACTCATTATCCCTGAGCGATAGTAACCTATATCAACTCACAATCCCTGAGCGACAGTAACCTATATCAACTCATTATCCCTGAGCTACAGTGACCTATATCAACTCACAATCCCTGAGCGACAGTAACCTCATTATCCGTGAGCGATAGTAACCTAGCGATAAACACCATGATTCAGCTAGAAAGTTAGTTTATAGTCTTTTACGGACACCACATATTAGATACTTTGTCCGCCAGTAGAACATTCAAACTTCATGTAAAGTTTTAACAAAAGTAGTAACGTTTTCAACTGTTCTTCTTATGTTTTGTAAAGTAAGAGCCGCATTTCCAAACGGCCCACATTTGATATAATTGTTTATATTTCTGACTTCTCACATTGTGTTTTGATAAAATTGTTATATTTCTGTCTTACTCTGAATTTCATAGGGTTTGATATATTTTACATTACATAAGGGGACTTCTGATTAACGTTCTCACATTTATAGCTTTTTACATCTAATTTTATAATTTAATACATTCGGTGGTAGCGATAGGCTCAAGTAGATTAAAAAGTTGCCAGGGCTCCCAGTGGTTCAAGGAAGCTCTGATCAGGACTTTGACTTTTGCCGCTTTTATTTTGTATTAATTAATTATTTTTTTTTAGTGAAAGCGATTTAAAAAACAAAAATGAGGGAGGAATTGTTGTAACAATTCCAGTAACGGTAACATCTACAGAGAGGAGTGTTCCAAGGTTAAAGCTGATCAAAGAATTATTGTCATCAACAGTGGCTCAGAATCGTTTGTCTGATTTGATAAGTTGTTAGTATCGACCATGATTTAGAAAAGGAATTTTCATACGATCACATTATTTACAACTTTTTGTCCAAAGAGTGCCATAAACAGTGAAGCTTAGGTAACGTTTATGTGTTTTGCTATGATTTACCTCCAAAATACTATTCTTCTAATAATGCATTGACTTCTTAACAAGTATGTTTATGTTGGTAGATTGCTTTGGTTGATGGTAATAATGTAGTTGGTATTTTATAGGGAGTGGGTTGAGGTTGGGAGGAGGCAAAATACTGTTACTTAGGTCCTCCAGCTGGCTGGCACTCTCACTGGGTACATTTGAAAATTTTTACCTGGTTTTGATAAATGTATCCCATTCCAAACTTCTAAGTTGTCTTTTGAAGAAAGTACTCACCTTTCGAAAAGTTTGATAAGATATTAACTTTTAACGTTCACGAGGGATTTTGATAAACATTGTCACATTTATAACTTTCCACGAGGTAATCTAAAAAAAGGTTGTCATACTTATAACTTCTCACGAGGGGAGTTAGCACAAGTTGTTAATTTCATAACTTCTCATGAGATGTTTTCATAAAAGTTGTCGCATGCCAAACATCTTGCATGGTGTTTGGTAAAATGATTATCATACTTAAGGCAGTTTGTTTCCTTCATGACGTAGTGCCACTTTAAAAGAGACATTTTTAATTTCACACGTCTTGGAAATGATACTCATTTAGCCGATTTTTCCTTTCCCCAATAATTTCCCACTCTTTCCATACTTTTCACAGATATTTGTGTATGTTAGTGTACTCGTTCTTCAACATCAAATAGAAATCAAGAAAGAGCATAATTCTTGCAATAACCGAATTTCCTAACTTCTTTGTTGTTCTTCTTCTTAATGTATAATAGACATGACCATACATTTCTGACTACAGTGCCGTGTTAAGGCACTCGTGGACCTTGGGCGAAGAAAGTACTAGACAATTTGAAAAACTAAATTTATCAGTGACAAAAAATATGGAAATAAAAAAGGAAAAGTTTACTTAAAAGACTGGTTTACTAGTATTTTTTATACTATTCATATTTTATTAATGAATATCATACTCGTAACGCGCGGTGGACTATGGGCAACTGTTCCTTTTGCCCATTGGATAAGACAGTCCTGCCTCACTAGAACTTCACCTTTAATATACAGAGTGTTACCACTATCTAGACAAGATAAGTTCGCTATTGATATTTTACAAATAGGTTTTGTTAAGTACATAAATACGTGTAAAGGTTATGCAAAAGTCGAGAAGATAATCTTTTTTGTTTTCCTAAATGTTTCTTTTTCTTTTATTACAATCATTTGTTGGGAGGTCAATAATATTAGAAAAACATGTGGAAGAGATCTTATTATGTGAGAATCCTGTACATTCTCCTGATTTTATATTATTACGTTTTGTATTTGTCACAAGTCTCAAAATGAATTTATGTTTTCTTCTGCATTTTTTTCTCTGTAAAC